CAGCTCGGGGTTCCGCTCGAAATTGCCGTCATAGGCCGTGTTCACTATTGCTCTTGCATCGGTTTCTCCTCTCTCTCCCCGGCTTCACAATACCTATTTTATGGTTTGCCTCGTTGAATCCTTCACAGCCCCAAGAAGAGGGGTGGGCTCATTTTGAGCGCATTGGGCAATCCTTTCTTTTCCTACACTATGGTAGACTTCGCAGCGTAAGAGCGCCATATAGGTGTGCCTTAGGCCAATGCCATAGTTTGCGAATCCATAGTTCGACTCCATGCGAATCGAACGTTGCACCAGCGAATCGAACTTTGCGCCAGCGAATCGAACGATGTACCAGCGAGTCGAACTAGGTACCAGCGACTCAATAGTGGCACGTGACAGTGGACGCTGTTTGAAAGTGGCGGGACTTGACAGTGGACACTGTTTGAAAGTGGCGGGCTTCCTTTGAACGTTGGGTCCCGCCACTATTGAGTCGCTGGTACCTAGTTCGACTCGCTGGTACATCGTTCGACTCGCTGGCGCAAAGTTCGATTCGCTGGTGCAACGTTCGATTCGCTGGCGCAACGCTCGGATCCAGCGAATCGCTCGATTCGCAAACTATGACATCGGCCTTAGGCATGACGCACACGCTTTTATCTATCAAATATGGCCCACCTTTGTTTTATACTCAACGTCGTCGCTCTTATTTACTACTTGGAAGAGAGGTCCAATCATTGGCACAATCATAAAAGCGCCAAATGGAAAGCACTGCCGAAAGGCTTCCTTCAGCTGAAATAATGAGAGGATTACTAGTGAGTTCTAATGTGATTAAAGGCGTACCATATCCAAAGTGTAAGGCATGTTGCGGTTCTCCAGCTCTTCCACGAGATAGGAGTAAAACATTTCGAGAAGCCATTCCCAGTTCTCCCTCCGATCCTTCCCACTCATACAGGCACACATTACTCGAATGATGTCCGCAGTTGCACAACCGAAATAAACCGACTGAAAAGTACTATTTGCTTTGTGTGCAGGGAACATTTCCCTGGTGAATAGCGATATTCCCGAATGATCTATAATTGTGGCTACGAGAGGGATACTTCACAGTGGCAACGCTAACCATTTCGTTGTTTAAAGGCAAAGTCCAGGATTGAACTGATGTTTTATTGCGCTTGCAAGTGACAATGGAGATGTGAAGTGTAACGCTAGTAATGAAAAACGGGAAGAAATTGGGTTTAGAAGGGTTTCATTTTTGGCAAAGTGGAGAATAAAATCCTCTTATCAGTAGAACGAAATAGCACTGATTTGTGGGCGGGCTCAATGGTGTTGGGCGGAGCCAATGCTGCATCCTAGGGCCTTAGCGCCCCGGCCTTGTCAAATCATCCCGAAATTTGTGTACGTGCTTGGCTTGCGCACTGCTGCACTTTCCTCGGGAAAAAGTTTAATTTCAACCAGAAACCCCGGACCCGCCTTCAAGGAATACAACTGGTGTAGGTGTTGCAGGATGCCCAGAGCGAGAGTGGGTGTGGAACAGAGAGACAATTAAATCCATCTTGGGCCTGTTGGCAAATTCAGCCGCTGCTCTACACAGCACCATCGTTCTATCCATTTCAGAATTGCGAGAATATAAAAAAAACTAAAGAGTCAGTCAGCCTAAAGTGCTGATCAGTTCGCCGACAGGCAGAGTGCACCTTCGTAGGAGTAATTGAGGAGAAGAAGTACTTTTAGTTACCCCCACTTAATTGACAAGGGTAGATAGAAAAACCCATTACAAAGCAACGGGTACCTGAAAGTCTATGACGCTGCTATTCAACATCTTGTTCTTCTCTTCCTCAGATCAACTATTTTGTAGACACAGTCTCACATGGCAAATAAAACTACTGACTCCATACCTCATGACTAGATAAAGTTCAAAATCGTTGATATTCACCCTTCTTTCAGGCGTCGTGGCCTTCCAAGGCAGTACGCAACCACGATCCAATTGGGTAACATTTCTAATGTGATTTATACGTGCTGCTAAAATACGAAATGGCCCAAGTCGCTGCATAGCCCTAACAGGCCGATGTCAGACTTTGCGAATCGCGCGATTCGCTAGCGTCCGCGGTCGCGTTGCGGTACCAGCCAATTGAGTGATTCACTGGCCGCGACGCGACCGCAGACGCTAGCGAATCGCGCGATTCGCAAAGTCTGACATCGGCCTTAAGGGAAGGACTGTCGCTGCATTTAACACAGTGCACTCACTGCTTGCTGATTCCATCCTCAAACGCACTCGCTAACGATGTGATGAAGGGGTGTGCTTTTGCTGGAAGTTATTTGGAATGGCCCAGAAAACCGCTCTCCTGCATAAGTTCACAATAAAACATCCGAGTGCAGTCTCGAATCTTGGCCCACATCACTCAGTCGGATTCAACAGGCACGAACATAATCCCACTCCTGCCTATCAGGGAAAAGCAAAAAAGCTACCACACAGAGCTATGTCAATGAACGAAATGACAGGCCCAGATTTTTTCCCGAGCAATTTGGTCACTCTCTTCATTTATGTCAAACACGTTGGATATGTCAGTTGCGGAACAGGTAACAGATTTTTTGAAATGCGTTGCTTCAGTAAATTGCCTGGTTTATCTTAATTAACCAAAATGTCGAGTCGACTGAGATACGGAATGAGATGTGGCAAATGAACAGCTAAGCCATTACTCCACGAATCCGAAGGTGCAGGCGGCAGGGTCAACCGTCACGTTGGACCGATTTCAAAATTTTTACGACCTCCCCCCTTCTTGGAGAGTCTCCATACGACCCCCCCCCCGCACTCATTATGTACTGTACACTGCTAAGGAAAAAGCTAACACTAGGGGAAATAAGTGCAATCTACAAAAAATCTAAAGACACTTGGCTTGAATTCAAACACAGTTAGCAGACGAGCTCTAGTTTCCTGATATCCGGTAATTTACTAATGCATAACATCGCAAAACGAACTGCCCTTCATTAATTGCTAAACAGTACTGCCCTTTTAGTTCGAATGAGCGCTTTGCCTGCCTTTCATGAATGGGCGTTCAGAATTCACAAAAATTTCCATTTCGATATGCGCGCATATCAAACGAGTGCATGGCGCATCTCAGGGCATGGGAGTATACAGTAGAAGTGTCCGATTGGAGCACGGGAGCGTTGCGTTCGCATTGCGCGCGCAATCTTCCCCTCGGCGCAGCGCGGGCAGCGAGAAACAGACTATTGGACTTTAATTTTGTTCAATTAATCAATCCTACCTATATATAAGCGCTAGCGTGTGTCTGGGTTGTGGGGGTGGTGTAGGGGGGGGGGGGTGGGATGGGGACACAAGTGGTACGTGATAGGAACTGATAACGACTGATAATAGCTGATAAGAGGGGCTAGAAAGCGAGCATCGCCAATTTCGTTTTGCCGTTCATATTGGTAAAAGAGCGTCTATACTTACAAGTCTTATGTGGGGCGGTCCCGGGACATTGGTGGTACATGATTGGAAGCGATAGCAACTGATAATGGCTGATAAGATGCGCTAGAACGCAAAAGTCGTCGATTCCGTTGCCTTGGGCTCGCGTTGACACCAGAGCAACCATACTTACAAGTGTTATGTGGGGTGGGACGGGGACATTGTTGGTGGGTGCCAGAAACTGATAACGATTGATAAGGGCTGATAAGGCGCGCCAGAACGCAAAGTCGTCGATTCCGTTACCTGGCTCGCGTTGACACCAGAGCAACCATACTTACAAGTGTTATGTGGGGTGGGACGGGGACATTGTTGGTGGGTGCCAGGATAACGATTGATAAGGGCCGATAAGGTGCGCCAGAACGCTGAAAGTCGTCAATTCCGTTACGCAGCGTTGACACTAGAGCGTTCCTATTTACAAATTGTAGTACGTGCACATTGTTTCGATATAACCAGCTTACTTAATAGAATTCGACTGCATAAACTCAAACAAGTCTTCAGCAAATGATAAGTTTCATTTCTATATTAAGAAAGCCCAAACTCATTAAACCGCTAATCCTTTCGGGGTTCTAAATAATGGTGAATGTAAATAAATGATAAGCCTTAGCTCCTCACTTATGTAAATAGGCATATTTCATTTTCATTTTGAGACTGACAGCAATCCTATTCACCGCTAAATTATCTGAATTCAAGAAGAATGCTGGATGTTTACAGTTGTGAGATAAATATGCCAGTTCAGCTCCAGACGTTATCACGCGTATTCTCGATGAGCTTCAGTGAAACTGTGGAGGGTCTAACACAGTCAATAGTGAGATGGTTAATGGAGTATCTCATGCTGATATTCCATGGGTCCTCCAGTTTCGCTAAAGCCTGCCGTGTGATGCGCGCGATAGCGGGCGAAGCAAAACTGGTTTTAATAAGAGGCTCGACTCAATGAATATCACATCGCCTTCGCACGTAGGACATGTTACCACTAATATCTATTATCACACCTTCATAAGGCCGCGTTCGCAGTTGGCGACTCCGAAGATTTGGATAGTAGTCCCTACCGCTAAGTCTGTCTGTCTGTCTGTCTGTCTGTCACGAAATTCCGTATTAAGCGGACAACAACCTACAGGGTCCAGGTCAAGTTTGGGATGGGTGTACCATATCTCCTAGAAGTAAAAAACACACATCAGCCAAGCGGAGCCCCGCCCACAGTGGGCGTGGCGTGCATCGGTTGATTTCAAATTCAGTCACAAAACAGCCTCGAGACCGGGACAAAAGTGGGCATAGGTGTGGGTTGGTAAGCCAGATCGAATTGAGGAGACCCACCCTCGGTGGGCGGGGCGTTCTCTAAAAAAGCGGTGCTCAGTGAAAATATTCATAACTCGGTTAAGAGAAGCCTACAGACCAGAAACGAAATTAGTGCAGGGGAGCAATGCCTAAGGTATTTCCAGCACGCATGATGTGAACGGAGGCCCGCCCACAATGGGCGGAGCGTGTCGTGAAGCGGACAGCGTTTTCTACAAGAGCTCATAAATCGGCTCCGAGATGACTTAGAGACCGGAAAACAGCGGATAGAGGTCAGGAGGGGAGGGGAAGCTAAATGTCAGGGATGGGCGTGGCTTACATCAAAGTGGGCGGAGTTTGCAATTAGGCTTATAACTCGGTTCCTAGGAGTCCCGGAGTCCGGGAAAAAAGCGTATAAGGGTTGGCAGAGGGAAAGGGGTCAACCGTTGTTGGCGGGCGGAGCATGCACCAAAGTGGGCGGGGTTTGCCACGGTACTTCATAACTCGGTGATAGTCAACTGATATCAGTGGGCGACCCATGCACGTTGTTTGCCACGAAGATACGTACGTTACGATGATTCTCAACTACAAAACCTCAGAAGTTGAAAAGTATACCAACCCCGAAAAAAACCCTCTCCGAAACCGCCGTCCCTAGGAATCTCACTCAGGAGCTCTGCAGTAATAGTGAGAGAACATTGGTCACAGACACAATTTTTCAGCCTTACCACCTTCCGAAAAAAACCCTGTCTTGGAAGAAAGACCCTCTCCGAAACCGCCGTCCCTTGGAATCTCACTCAGCAGCTCTGCAGTAATAGAGAGAGAACATTGCTTACAGACACAATTTTTCAGCCTTACCACCTTCCGAAAAAAACCCTGTCTTGGAAGAAAGACCCTCTCCGAAACCGCCTTTCGTTGGAATCTTACTCAGCAGTTCTGCAGTAAATGAGAGGCAACATTGCCCACAGACAGAATTTCTCAACTAGAAAACCTTCTCAAAAATTGAAAAATATACCATGCCCCGAAAAAAGACCCTCTCCAAAACCGCCGTCGCTTGGAATTGTTGTTTTCGTTCGCACCTAGAGATTGGGTACTGTCTTTTGATCGATTCTGTCTGAAACACGTAGCTCAATGCGGTGTAGGAAATAGAAAATATAGTTTGACCTAATAGTCGGTGTAAATGGGATGTACCGAACAGAAAACTAAAATCTAGAAAAGAATAGTGATCATCCTGTTTGAACCCCCGTGTGATGCACGCGAATGCGTGCGCAGCCAA